TGAATAGTTTTTTGATATAATCTTCAATTCAAAGTTAGAAAAAATACAAATACTAAACTTCTTACGAGAATTTAAAGTAAACACTACTGTGTTTTTCTTCTTTGTGCACATCAAATTGCAAATTATCCCAATATAGCGCAATAAATACCTGGGGGTCCACATCAGTGAGGACCTCACCTGGACACTGAACACCACCCAGCTGGTCAAGAAAGCACAACAGCGGCTGTACTTCTTAAGGAAGCTAAGAAAACTCGGTTTGTCATCTAAGATCCTCAGCAACTTTTACAGTTGTGTGGTTGTGAGCATCCTGACCAACTGCATTACTGTTTGGTATGGAAACGCTACTGAAAAGGACCGCAAACGTCTGCAGAGAGTGGTGAGGACTGCAGAGAAGATCATTAGGTCCCCACTGCCTTCTCTGCAGACTATCTACCATCACAGAGTCCACAAGAGAACTGCCTCCATCCTGAAAGACCCCACTCATCCACAACACGGCTTATTCACACTCCTACCCTCAGGGCGGAGGTATAGGAGTGTGAGATGCAGGACTGCCAGACTCAAGAACTCTTTCTTCCCATCAGCTATCAGACTTCTAAACAGATAACCAACGCACATAACAGTCTCTTTTCTGCTCAGTACAACACTACATACTCCATCCCATTTTGCACTATTTTATTCTTTATTCTTTTTTTGCACATAATCCAATTGCACTAAGCCCTTTTTGCATAATAAGCACAATAAAAAAACAAAAAAAAAAAAAACACTGTACACTGTTTACATCTGTTTCATTACTCAAATCAGGTTTACATATTGTTTACTTTCATAGATATTTATATACTTACATTTTACAATCAATCTTCAGTCACTTCTGTGTATATATGTGTATTTATGTGTATGTTGTGTATGATGTGTATGTTGTGTATGATGTGTATGACTTCACTGTGGACGGCAAAGTAAGAATCTCATTGTACAGGGAGACGTGTTTCCTTACTGTGCAGATGACAATAAACAGTTGAATTGAATTGAATTGAATTGAATTAAATCTCTTTTTAGGACGATCTTCAGTTTCAGGTTAGAATACAATTATAATTTTGAAAATAATTTAAAATGTACATACTGTTTTTTCATGTGTAGGTCAAAGTTTCAACAGCTCAATCATTTTAAAAAGCATGTGCTCAAACTAAAAGAAGTAAAAAAGTGCTTTTGTGGTGCAGGGTCACGTCTCTCCTCAGTAAGTGATCATAGACAACACAAGGGGGCAATGTTCAGCACAGAGAATCACAATTTAACTAAAACGTATAAGACAGTGTGTTTTTCATCATCTCAACAGTTTTTCCTAATGAAACACACAATAATTTAACATTTATTTTAACAAATACAGCTCATAGTGTTAATAACATTGTTTACTCTACACTTTGTACCGTGATCATGATGATTGTTTGTTATGAGCAGGGCCGGATTAGGTGATTTGGGGGCCCTAAGCAATTCGAGTCATGAGACCTGGAAGTCCTTCAGTAATAAGCACTTTTCATATTTGCTTATTTATTTAGCTGTCTTTATCTTATATCACTCTGTCTTGCTTTCTATATTTTTATCTGAACACAATCTCTACATTTTAAAAGATTTGTTTGCTTAAAAACAAGAACTAAGAAAACAAGAACTGACTACAATCTTTAAGTTATGATTGTTGCTGAATGACGCATTGTATGACTTAATTTCATGATTTTTCTTTTAATAAAGTCTCTTGGTCTCACGTAGGTTTTGTTTGTTTTCTGCGCCAGTGATTTATACTTGAATATGTATGGAATTGTATTTTTACTTATTAGATGATTTAGCTGATCTCTTATTTACTCAGCATCACTGCAGCATCACAGAATGACTCTTTGACTCACACTGTAAACACTAATAAGTTGAGACTACTCAAATCTACAACTCTACAATTCAATTAATTGAGTTGACCAAATGTGGTCTCTTCATTAAATTAAATTTTTAAGCACAGATAACTTAAAATACAAGGGCTAACTGGCCCAGCCGTGAATCGAACCAGCGACCTTCTTACTGTGAGTCGACAATGCTAACCACTAAGTCACCGTGTTGCCCCAGCGTGTATATCAATTAAGAAAAATGTATATCAGCATTTAAATATCTACTAACTAATTTAACTTTTCTCTTTCGTCAGATGGGTTCAGGTAGTGCCTCTGTCCTGCTGCGCTTAAGGAGAATTCAGCATCACAAGCAAAATGACCACCTTGAGTCAAATAACATATATTGACCAATCAGTGCGGTTGTCAAGGCAGAATCTCAAGCACAACCAATCATTTTAAACAGAGACATGGTGAATCATTTAAAGAAATTAAAATGTTAAGTTCAGAGAACTTACAATATGAAGGTATACAATCTCTTAATACAAGCTTGTCAGTCTTGGTCATTAAACAGAGGCGATTAACCACTCTCCTAAAAAGGCAGAACCCTACTTACTCAATTTAGGAGATTTTTATGTGGTCCCCATAGATCTGTTATCTACTTAATCAAGACAAAGTATTTTAATAATAATCGCGCAGGATTATACGTTTGTAGATGAAGGCCTAAATATCCACATTTAAAGTAGTTTCAACAATATTTTGTTGTTCTAAATAGTTGGCCTTTTACAGTCCAAGTATACTTGAATAAATGCCAATTTATTAGTCGGATCTCTAACAACATTGTATAGCGTGCCACGCTGCTCCGTCTAACATGTTTTAGTCCGTTACTAACCTGTACAGTGGCTTGTAGTGCTATGGACAACAACATTTATCAGTGATAATAACACGAGGTTTGAATAATTCAAAACATAATTTATTAGTCAGGTAAATGTATTATGCCAAATTCAATCAGTCAATTCATAAACGATCAATACAAAACATCAAATTTTCAAAGACAAATCCAAGATGAAAAAGATGCATTCCTGACTTCAAAAATATACATAACATGGATCAAACCATGTTATGGGCTGATCTGGTTAGGCAGAATCGCGCTGAATCTTTCTCAGACCTTACCTTAAATAATCCAAGAATTCCCTCAAGGAAGGGGGTGTGAATAACAAAAGGCATTCACACTTAGGGAAAAGTCACACCCTTCACAGTGGTTCAAAAGATGCCTGAAGTTATATATTTATTGTTTTGATTATGTCTATTTCTGAGAGAACGAGACCATTGTACCAATCGCACTGAGACATTTCAAATGATATCAAACATGATAGTTAAAGTCAGTTTGGTTAATCTAGAACATTCAAACATTGAAATGACCATATGCGTGAGTTGGGGGGATGAAGCTGAGTTTCAGCATACTCAGATGCAAATGCAGCAGGAACTGGTTTTTCCCGCATTCCCCCCTGGTGGGTTGTGGAGTCCATTGGCCCTGTTTTCAGCTCATGTTTTGAATTGTCAAAGACATCAAAAATATTTGTAATATTTCAATTCTTACAGACCTAAAATAAATGATTATCTTTGCAAAACGCATGATCTATTTTGTATATGGTGACATAACCTGTTATATGATGTTATACTGGATAAAGACTGCCAAGGGTGTTAAGACATTCAGAATAACACTATTTCAGACTCAGAATATGGCCATGATTATACAATTATAAGTCACTGGAGCACAATTAACTGTCTTTAGAAATAGAAATGACAGAAGCAAATACATATTCATTTTTACCTTCATAAGTTTCCTTGCAATGACGTGAAAATGAGATCGCAATGAAAAATGAGATTTTATGTCATATTATTAATCACATAAAATCATACAGCAGTCAATACTGAAATCCATACATAATACATTACGTTTGAATGAATCCCATTTCTGTGATATAAATAATAAACATTCTGAACAGAGAACTGTAACATTGAGCAAATACAGCAGAGATACAATAGAACTCACAATGTAGTCACTATCTATTGAAACCAAGATTGGAAAAAAAAGAACTTGAATATATTTATTATTTATTATACAAATTTAACAGCAAATGACCTGTTAAAAAGTCACAACATTACATTCAAATCAGCTTCTGTTACTTGCTGCTTTACTTTAATCACAGTTGCGTTGACCAAAAGGGTCAGTTCTTAAATGATTAAATGAATCTTTCTTAAGTATGTCTGGACGAATGTGACACCGTCACACTTTCAGTTCTCCAAGTCAATGCAGCACATCACGGTAATAAACAAAGATGTAAACAAAGTACATTGCTTTATGAACTATTACAATTACTTGAAGCACAGTCAACATTAATGAAGTTGAGCCAAGTAAAAATGTCAAAGATTAAACAATCAGGCCCTTCTGAAGGCTGAAATAAATCATTAAACACTGACTATTATCTGGTTTGTAATCAATAACTATTTTCAGACCAAAGAATATCATGCGCTGAATGAAACAAACTGTGTTACTAAGAATAAATCAAGAATAAATGTCACCTTCAAAGTTAGTTAAATTAGTTACTTTAATGAAGGGATCAAAACCGCTGCCTTAAAAGTGACCAATTGACTTCCCTTAAAAATATGAGGACCTATTAAGTTGACTTAACTTACCTATTTATAGTCAACTAATTGCTTTTTACAGCGTAATTAAAATTAGATTTTATTTTCTCAAAATCACAACATTTATGACTGCCCGTTTCGCCACTTACAAATTTAAAATGAAGCATATTTTCATACAATTTATTGCTCACATTACATGTATGATAACTTAAATACATTTGAATATACTGTATAATATGAATAAAACAATTAGTTTGAAATAAATAAGAGTAATAACCGCTAGACATTCAGCATGCTAAGTTTCTGTGCTATAACTCTAAACTAGATTTAATTAAGAAGACGATGCATCATATTCTTGAACACAGACACGATTCCAAAACTGCCTAAATAATGCTTATTAGAATAATTTCAATGCAGACAATAGTAAATAGAGTATATGCACAGAGATTTGTTTGTTTTTTGATGGAATGATTGATTTTAATCGGGTGATTTACAGTAATTGCGATTCAGTAATCCTGAGAAAATCTTCAGACTATATCCCAGATCAAGAGAATTGATGAGGCCCAAATAGTTCAAAGAGAGAGCAGAACATCTTCGATAAATAGAGCATAATGTGACTTCAGGAGGTGGTCATGGTTGAAGGGTCCGTCCACATGGCTGCCACATCTCTGAACCTGCACAGTAGAAAAAACACAGTTAAGCATGTAGAGCATAATGATCAGTGACTGACAAATAAGAGTGTTCACAGTCAAGAAAAGCCATTTTAAACACTCAATTATTACACTCCTCTGATTTTAAGAATGTAATGTCAGTTTTAATCCCATCCCCCACCTTTCTTATGAGAAACATTATTTTTAACAAAATGAAAATGTCGTAACTATAAGATTCAGTGCTTCCCACAGCTATAGGAGAGCTCTAAAATCTGCCAGGACTGAGCACCTCCACAAACTGATAGAAAATAATCATAACAGTCTTAGATTTTTATTTAACACCATTGCTAAATTAACAAATAATCAGTCATCTTTGGAACAAAATGTCCCACCGCAAATTAGAAGTGATGATTTTTTTAGTGATGAAATAAAAGCCTTCAGACAGAAAATAGAAGACGCTAAACTTTCTGCACCGCCTTATACTTCTCAACATTCCACTGAATCTAGATAATTTACAGTGCTTCAAAATCACAGAACAGGAAGGACGAGCTAGATAAAATGATAAATGGTTCTGAACCAGCTACATGCATGTTGGACCCAATTCCAACAAAATTAGTGAAAGAGCTGCTGCCTGTAATAGTAGAAGCTCTTCTTAATTAAACAGTTTTCAATAAATGAGTTAAATGCAGCTTTATGTGCTGTTTGGGCTCATTAATCTATTGTAGACATGGTGTGAACTACTCTTTCATTCACTGTAACTGATCTCCAGAAAATCTAGAAACAGGGACTCAGCAGCAGGTCTAAAACGGGATGGGGAGCAGATCAAATCAAATTATATGTATTACCTAAAGTCTAAATGAAGAAAAAATATATATGGAGCGGTACAGGAGCGGGAGTCATTTTAAATAGGAGCAGGATGGGACAGGATCATTTTTTAAACTTTGGTCTGGGAGTGGGACGGGAAAAGATTTCTTTCTGTGAGAGTGGGAACGGGACAGAAGTGAAAATTCCCTCCCATGTCATCCTCTATTCCAGACACGGCTGTGTCTTTTGTCTGACAAAAGCCGAAAAAAGACTTTTGTACTAAACCTGTAATGGCAGTTTCTGTTTCTACTAATAAGCACTGCCCACTAACTTGTGTATTTAACTGAGAGTCAGCTGCAGTAGTTGAGAGATTTTCTTGATGAATCACAGCAACGGCGAGTTCTTATTAAAGGATTCTGCTCTGAAGATACCTGAAAAATCCTCCTGGTTTGTCTCGTCTTTAAATTCACAACATATTCATGAAGAAAAAGTCAGTCACAGAGATATTACAGATGATACATTTGTAAATAATGTTTACTTTGTTGCACAGAGAAAGATTCCTTTGCTTCATAAGACCTCAGTGCATCGTCAGGACTTGAGTGTATCGTTACACCCCTATCTTTGATACAGTTTCCCCAAAAACTGTCTCTCAAAGTTCATGAGTACTGGCCTGTGAACTGGCATCCACACCTATTAACAGAACAAATGCAGGAGAACTGAGAAATACAGAGAACATTGAACACAACATTAAGCATGGTTAAACTGTGCAACTGTCCAAATCTGTTATAAAACTCTAATAAATCTAATGGAGAATTTCCTGATTTACAGTAAAATACTGTTCATTTTTTCAAAGCGACTGACATTCCAGGAGTTTCTAATGGCACTTCACATTTAACTTTTTATTCACTTTTATTTACTGATTGTTCTTAATTGTTCTCATTATAAACAGGTTCATGTTAAATTTTGTTATTAATTTTAGGTTTTTGTTGCATGTCTCAGGGATGTCAATGGGAAGCACCAAGGAATATCATGCAGCTCACACTCCCAGGAAAGTGCCAACTTCACCCTAAAGTACTCCAGCTGATATGGGGGTGTTTTGGAGAAACTCAGGTTTACCTGTTTGCTTTACCAAAGACCGGCCACTGCGCCGCTCAGCACAGATGCACTGGCTCACTGCTGGATTCGGACATGTGTATCAGGCAAGTTTGCGTTTCCCTAGTGAGTCTTCTTGTACAGACCCTGGGCAAGGTCAGGGAGGACGAGGAGCAGATCTTGCTGGTTGCACCACACTGGCCCACCCAGACCTGGTTTCCAGAACTCACACTTCTCGGGACAGACCCTCCCTGACAGATTCTCCTGAGGAAGGACCTTCTTTCTCAAGGAGGTTTTCCATCTGGCACTTACGTCCAGATCAGAAAAAGGAGAAGGTAGTTGGATTTTTTATAAATTTAAAGAAGGCATTTGATACAATAAATGATAACATATTGGTAAATAAATAGATAACTTACATTCAAGCACATTCAGGGCAGCACGATCATGAGAGATGTAATTCATTGTTAGTATTATTGTCATCATTAATATTTAATAATGATTAGACATACATTTTGGAATTATTGCACACAAATATCAATAAGTCATCTCAGCATTAGTTAGATAGTTGTTTCTGGTTTTTGTTAGTCCTAATTGATGTTGTTCAAATACAATCAATCCCTTAAAATACAAAAAAGTCATTAGACTGATGGAAAATGTGGGCTATTTGGAGCATACAAATCCTCTATTTTTAAAATGAAAGATACTCAAGTTCAATGATTTGGTTCAATTTAAAACAGCACAATTTATGTTTAAAGCTAGGAATGAATTACTTATAAAATGCATGCAAAAGTTATTTGAAGAAAGACAAGGGGGATATAATCTGAGAGAAGAACTAAGGTTTAGGAGGTTGAAAACAAGGACAACTTTAACAAGTTTGTGTATGTCTGTCTGTGATGTGAAATTATGGAACAGTCTAGATCAGACTCCCAAACAATGTCAGGATAATAATCAATTGAAGAAGTTGTATAAATGTATATTATTAAAGGAATATAATGATGAAGGTGATTGAAAAAGGATAAAGTGAGAAAGGTATGATGAAGTTTTAATTAATGGCTATTTGCAGTGTTTTTTTTGGGTCTGGACCTTTGGGTCTGTTACAAAATGTAAAGGTACAAATGGAATCAAACATATAATTTGTCAAAGATGCCAAAAGGATGAAATATATTTTATGAAAAAGAAGAGATCAGTAAAAGAAGAAATCAGTTTAAGTAATAGACGAATGACGTGTGTGGTAATGGGGTGGGAAAATAATAAGCTTGTGCTTCATCCCACTCCATTTTTGACCATGTTGAAATGTATTTTTTGTTAATGATTTTTTATGTATGATATTTCTGTTTGAAAATAAATAAATCAAATCAAATCTCTGGAACCTTCATGTGTGATCTATAGACATGACATAGAAACCTTAAGTGACCTGCCAGCATCGGTAGCTGACCTCTCATGACCTTTTGGGATCACTCTGTGGTCCTCTGCGCACTGCAAAGAGAGCCGCTTGATTCAGTATCTTTAAGTTTTCTATTCTTGAAGACAGCTCTGCTCATCACACTGGCTTCTATCAACAGAGTCCGGGACCTGGAGGCATTTTCTGTCTGCAAATCATGCTTGGAATTTGGGCCAGCTAACTCTCACATTGTCCTGAGACTCTGGCCTGGCTATGTGCCCAAGGCTCCTACCACTCCATTTCCAGACTTCAAACATTGACTCTGGAGGAGGCATACTCAACCCCTCCATTGCTGTGATGAGGTCACACACTGGGTGTTTACATGGCCGAAACAGAGCATTCTCTAGTGTGTTTTTTTTTTTTTTTTTTTTTTTTGTCTGTTTTGTAAGTCGACAGAAGGAAAGTGCCATATCCAAGCAGAGGCTGGCACACTGGGTTGTGGATGCCATCTCCCTTGTGTATCATACCCAAGGCAAAGTGTGTCCTCAGGGATAAGGGCACACTCAACTGGAACTCCCGCATCCTCCTGAGCATGAGCAGCAGAGCCTCTCTAACAGACAACTGTAGAGCTGCCGCTGGGCAACACTTAAAACATTTGTGAGATTCTACTATCTCTGAGTACATGTACATGTGATTTCTCAAATTTAATAAATTTGCAACAATTTAAAAAAAAAATCACATTGTCATTATGGGGTATTGTGTGTAGAATTTAGAGGCAATAAATGAATTTGACTCATTTTGAATTAAGGTTGTAACATAAAGTGAAGTTTATTCATAAACTAATTTCGAGAGGAGCACGTGATTATGATTGAACACGGCTGGTTCTGCATTAGCATGCTTGATCCACTAATCAGGCCATTCCTAACCACTATAAAGAGCCAGGGTTTTCTCACTACAGTCATCTTCGATTTGAAGAATACACTGCTCTGCATCAGCTGCTACTGCTACTGCTACTGCTACTGCTACTGCTACTGCTACTGCTACTGCTACTGCTACATCAACTTCTCCAGCTACATCAACTTCTCCAGCAACAACAACAACAACTTCTTCAACAACTTATCCAACAACTTATCCAACTACAACTTCTCAAACTTCTACTTCAAATTGCCTCACACAATGCAACCTCTGTGTCTTCAAACCAATTCTCCAACAAGATCACAGTAAAAACTCTATCACCATCCATGAACATTGCCTAAACTCTCGATGCTTGCGATCCAAGCTGAACTCTCTTCTAGGGGTGCACCAGCGGTAACATACATGACACTTTTTAAGGGAAAGCCTCACAAACTACAACTAAGATTAAACATCCATCTTTAAAGGATGATTCTAGCGTGAATAGAATGACTCACCTCTCAATCAAGGTTCTAGACAATCCAATCCTTAAAAACATCAGTCCACAACTTATGCATACATTGATAAACATCCATGTTAATCCTCCAAACTAGTCGCTGTGGTGCATTCAATAGAGTAGCGTCTCCAATCATAACACTAGTTCTCTGGCAAACAAAATGGCCGCCAGCCTTTTTCTGCAACTTTGATTGACACTCCTTCGAGCCAATAGCTGAAAGGAGAAGCGTCATCATCCAATGAACTCTCAAAAAATTTGAGATGGTTCCACCCTCTCTCATGACAAGCTCATGAATGATTATCATTACATTTACACAATTACTACTAAATGGTGACATTA